CAAAATTCTACCATGCGAGTTCCAGCATTATTTCTGTCACCAAGGCCAAATTTTCCAACTACCGGTGATTCTTCTTTGTTTCCAACTTTTGCTTTCCAGTCACCAGTGATAATTAACACATCCTGATTGCAAGTCCAGGGAATTTCAGACTGCAGAAGTTGATAAAAATCTTCAATTTCCTCATCTTTGGCTTTGGTAGTTGATGCATGGTGTTGCTGTTGTTGGTGCCATCAAATCGACCCCCAGTGACAGAGCAGAACTATGCCATAAGGTTTTCTTGGCTAAGATGCTTTAAGAAGCAGATAACCATGTTTTTCTCCCACAGAGCTGCTGGGGGAATTCTAACCACCAGCCTTTCAGTTAGCAGTCGAGTGCTTAACCATTTGTGCTATTGAGGCTTCTTAGATACCCTCTGCTAAACATTAAAGGAAATTCATGCTCAAAATAAGGAGCCCTAGTGGTGCAATGAGTTAAGTATCCAACTGCTAACCTAAAGGTTGGCATTGCAAACCCACTTACCCAGCCATTCTGTGCAAGAAAGACCTGGTGAACTGCTTCCATAAAGATTATAACCTCCATCCCTGCCACCATGGCCACTTTGTTCATGAGCCCACTGAGCAATGACAGGAGTAGCTGGGGAAAAAAGATGGCTGGTTTCCACTGAATGTGTCATCCTATCCACCTGATTGTTAAAGTCCTCCTCTGCCGAGGTCACGTTTTGGTGGGCATTCACATGAGACACAAGTATCTTTACTCCTTTGGCCTAGTCAGAGAGATCTATCCACATACCTCTTCCCCATACATCCTTGTCACCAATTTTCCAATCATGCTCCTTCCAAGTCCTAGACCATCTGGCCAAGCCATTAGCCATAGCCCATGAATCTGTATACAATTGCACATCTGGTCATTTCTTATTCCATGCAAAGTGAACAGCCATATGCATGGCTTGAAGTTCTGCCCATTGGGAGGATTTCCCTTCACTATTGTCCTTCAAGGATGTCCCAGAAAAGGGCTGCAATGCTGCTGCCGTCCACTTTTGAGTGGTGCCTGCGTATCACGCAGAACCATCTGTAAACCAGGCATGAGTTTTCTCTTCCTCAGTCAACTGATCATAAGGAACTCCCCATGAGGCCATAGATGCAGACTGGGAGAGGGAAGGTAATGTGACTGGAGTGGAGACCATAGGCATTTTGGCCACTTTCTCATGCAACTTACCTTCAGGTCCTGCTCAAACCCAATCTCTGATATAGTACTTCCATTTAATGCTGGAGTGTTGCTCTGCACATCCAACTTTATGACTCTGTGGGTCAGACACCACCAGTTCATGATGGCCAGCTCAGGCCTCATGGTGACTTGGTGGCCCATGGTTAGGCATTCAGTCTCTACTAAAGCCCAATAACAAGCTAAAAGTTGTTTCTCAAAAGAAGAGTAGTTATCTGCAGAGGATGGCAGGGCTTTGCTCCAAAATCCCAATGGTCTGTATTGTGATTCAACAATAGGGACCTGCCAAAGATTCCAAACAGGATCTCTATCTACAACAGACTTCAAGCATCATTGGATCAGCCAGATCATATGATCCAAGTGGCAGAGCAGCCTGCACAGTGGCCTGAACCTGTTGCAGAGCCTTCTGTTATTCTGGGCCCCATTCAAAGGTAGCAGCTTTCCAAGTCACTTGATAAATAGGCCACAGCAACACACCCAAATGAGGGACATGTTGCCTCCAAAATCCAAAGTGGCCCACCAGATGTTGTGCCTCCTTTTTAGTTGTGGGGGAAGCCAAATACAATGACTTATCCTTCACTTTAGTAGGAATATCTCGACATGCCCTACACCATTGGACCCCTAGAAATTTCACTGAGGTGGAAGGTGTCTGAATTTTTATTGGGTTAATTTCCCAACCTCTGGCATGCATATGTCTCACCAATAAGTCTAGAATCATTGATTCTTCCTTACTAGGTCCAATCAGCATAACGTCATCAATATAATGGACCAGTGTGATGTCTTGTGGAAGGGAAAGGCAATCAAAATCTCTATGGACTAAATTATGACATAGTGCTGGGGAGCTGATATACCCTTGAGGAAGCACTGTGAAAGTATACTGTTGGCCTTGCC